GTATTAATTATATTTACTATTTAAATTAATTTGGAAACTGAGAAATAACAATTATAATTCTAAAATTCTATAATTCCCTTCAGTGATCTTATAATTGAGTGATCTTATAATTCCCGAGAGTAATATATTTTATTTTAAACGTTAAATATGATATTAAATAAATATATCAAATAGGACAAATAACCGAATCGACAAATAGATTTGAACTTATTTTCTTTCTTTAAACAATTGCTCTAACCGACAACGGAAGAAATCAAATATTATTACATACCAACATAATGTATCGATAGCTTTATGGCAAATATTATGTACAAACAGACGTAAATACACTACTTAAATATGTAAAATTTATTTAAAAAGTTTTATTAATATTAAATGATTTAATTTTTATATAAAACTTTTAATAGATTTTTAGTTTTTATTTGGTTTCGTTATAGATAAAAATTATACGGAAAAAATGATAAATTAATTACAAATATCATCAAAGTATACTCAATAGATATTATTATAAATACAAATGATTTTTGTAATAAAGAAAAGTAGAAAAATTAATTTTTCTAATTATTTTTGTATATATGTAAAAATTCATATAGCATTTCAATAACTCTCATTTTTTTATTTTTTCTATAATGGATAATAGCAGATACTTAAAAGAAGGGATTTAATATGAGATTTCCAAAGTTGTTATTAAATATTGGCTTAATATTGATCACAAGAACAGTGTCTTGCATGGATAATAATGTAGAAATTATCGATCGTTTTTTACCCAACAACTCGGTACCAATTCATTATAACGTTAAACTAACACCGCATCTCGAAGAAGGCAATTTTACTTTCTACGGTGAATCCAATATTACAATCGAGATTCGTTATGAATTGTCAAATATAACTTTACACTCGTGGGAATTAGAAATAAATGAAACGGCGACAACATTGATCAACGACTATGGTACGGTTTATAAACCGGTGAAACATATTCAGATCATTACATCCGACATTTTGGTACTGAGTTTCAATGATGTGTTATCTCCTGGTCTGTACATCTTGAATATGAAATTTGCCGGTAACCTATTAGATTCTTCCCAAAAACAGGGATTCATGAAATTTTCGTATTTATCCCCTAAAGGAAATACGTAAGTATATATTAAACATGAAAATATATTTGCAACATATGAATACATAGTATCCGTTTTTACCTTTTTTTGCTTCTATCATTGTTTCCGTACTAAAAGGTTTTTTCGGTAAAATATATACCTAATTAAAATATAAATGTATACATATATATTATAAATACATGTATGTATATTATAATTATATTCCTCCAAAAAAATATACATATATCGAATTAAAATATATGCAAATTTTAATACTTCAATTTCAAATAACTAACATAACTCTAATTCGGTTTTTTAATTTATGTTTACCTATACTTAAAATATTTTTATAAATTTTGTATAAATAACAGACAGTTAAAGGTAATTAATATTTATTAAAGTCTTATATTAATTGACATAAATAGAAAACTTATTATCATTTAAAATACTTTATTAAACAGCAGGTGGTTAGCTGTAACACATTTCGGACCGAATGGGGCCAGACGAATGTTTCCATGTTGGGACGAACCGGCAATAAAAGCCACTTTCAGCATTTCCGTAACACATCATGAGAAATACAGTGTACTGTCAAATATGCCAATACGAGAACAACACAACGAACAAGAAAACATGATATGGACACATTTCGAGACCACTCCTGTAATGTCCACTTATATCGTAGCGATTGCAATGTCTGAATTTGTTCGCGGTCCTAACGCAAACGGAACCATCAATATGTGGTATAGATCAATAACTTTGACATCGAAAGTAAAATTCGGACACAGTACTGCTGACAAGATTGTAAAATTCTTGAATCGTTATACTACTAGTTCCCAGAAGGTACCGAAAATGGACCACGTCTTGATACCGAATTTTGTAGTTGATGGCATGGAAAATTGGGGTCTCATCACTTACGAGTAATATACAGTTTATATTAAGTTATTACATATAAAACGAATCAATATGTTAATTTTAGCCTTAAAAATTTAATAATTTAAAATACTTGTGCATCTCGAGATAACAAAAGAGCATGTGCATTAATGTTTGGATTGTCTAAACATGTATCTATAGTTTTAACTTTGTACAACGTATTTCTATATATCGTGCATACAGAGATGGGTGATACATAATGCCATTATTTCTGAACCGTTACCTTTTACAATATCGATTTGGTAATAACCTTGTAATTTTTGATAATGGTAACCAATTGAAAGCTGGGGAAGACACATGAAAGAAATAGCTTGTTACTATTACGCGTTACTTATTAAAATTATTTGTCAAAAAATAATAACTCATTACTTATAACGAGTTAAAATAGCATTGACGCATTGATAAATTCCTTTTTTTTCCCCAAATTACGCATAATAATGATAAGCTACTTTTCAAAACTGACTTTCCCATTCTTATAATTTTTAGTTAGATATTTTTATCAACATGGAAATTGAAACGCTACTTATTTGTAATGAATTATTATTATTACAAAAAGAAATGGCAAAACTACTAACGTTATATATTTTCCATCCCTGTAATATATATTTATACCCACGCACATGCACATGCAAAAAGAATTATAAATATCTATGTTATTTACGCAAGAAAATTATAAATAATGAATTGTAATATAATTAATCAGTTTAACACGATAAACTGCATATTCAGTGATATTTTACATTATTATATATTATTATTTTCTGTATTTCAGTGAATCAAATATTATTTACGATGATGACAGAGATCCAATGTTAAAAAAAATAGAAATAGCGTTGTTAATAGCGCATGAACTTGCACATCAATGGTTTGGCAATTTGGTCACTCCATATTGGTGGAACTACCAGTGGTTAAGTGAAGGATTTGCTTCGTTCTTCCAAATGTACATAATCAACAAGGTTATTGAATGTTACCATACATAATGCATGATTATTTATTGGAAAAAGCATTTTAAAGTAAATTTTACTATAAGATTAGATAATAATATCAATTAAATATGATTAAAACTACACTTTCCAAAAATTTATTAAGATGGAACTAACGAGTGCTCTAATTTAAAATTATGAAGAATGGTATAACGTGTTTTTGAAATGAATTATAAAAATATGTTGATACAATTGAAAAATTTACTAATTCATTTTTTTTACATTTTAACATTATTTTTATGATTAGGAATCATAAGAATATTGTAATTAGAATTCGAGAACACGTTTTATTCTCTGCATCTATGTTTAGAATTTAATGAAATAATAAGATTCGAAATATTTTGAATCTTCATATTTTATTAACATTTCATATTAAATATACTTTCTAGCAGAGTTTCATAAATAATTAATCTTTAGGCATTCTAATCTTGATAAAAGTTTGTCATAAAATTGTTAATATATGTTAGGTATAATTTTGGTTTAATTATGAGCATATCCACAGAGAATTCGGAAGTTTAATTAATTCAAAACCTTTCTCCCGAAAGATTTTATTTTTTCGTTCTTTATGAAACGACTTTATTTTTTATTCTGAGCAATTTTTTTATTATGTTATAAAATAATGTTTTTTCTTTTATGATTATGTATATATAATATTTCTAGAATTTCCGTTATAGCTTTTTATAGAGCATCTGATACATAAAAAAAATTTCGCAAGATTTTTGAATCAAGGAACAAAAAATGCTCCGATAAATTAATGAGTACTACATTAATAAAACTATATTTTTTTTAAATTACTTTATTTTGCATATAGTTTCTTCAGGAAGAAAAAGTTATAATTTACAAAATTTAATATTTCTTTATTGTGCACTTCGAAAAAAAGGTATTCTAAATTTTAAAATAAAGCAATTCATTATTGCAAGACAATAGCTTTTTAATTCTTTATGTGTAATAAGGGGGTTAAGAAATCATCCCTCTAGTAAAAAAAATCCTAGACAAAAGCCAATGGTTGTAATGTAAAATAGCAAATGTAAAAGCGGCAAATAGACAATAATTTTTTTATTTTTATAAAATGCAAGCTTTTTTCGGAAACTTTAATATTTAATCACATTAATGTACTTTCTTTTACAGATTTTCAAAGATTGGCGGACAACAGAAATATTTATGTTTCATGAAATACAGCAATGTTTTTTAAAAGATACAGAGTTTTCAAATTCTGTTATAATGAAATATGGTATTAATTTTGAAGATGACTCATTGAATTCCTATGTAAACAAAAAAGGTAGGATTATGTAAAAAAAATTATAAGCTATAGTTTATAGATTTTAAATTTATATAGGGGAGAGTTGCGCACCGAATGCGTATTGGTCGCCTAAATCATATCTCATCAATATTTATTATTATTAGTATTAATGCTTAATATAAGCAACATTTAGTAACAATAATATATATATAATGCATGAGGAATGAGTGATATAGACAAAAATATAATAGATTACTTGTTGTTGTTGGTGAAAAGATAAATATAATAATACATGTCCGAAGCTTCAATTTTCTAATATTTATTAATGTATAAAACAATGCCAAATGGAAAATATAATAAAAAGTTGGTTTAATGGTATGCGTTCGTCAACTCTCCTTGTAGTGAGAAAAAGATAAAAAACACAATACTAATAGCATATATTAAATTTGTACGTGTATTTTAAATTTAGCTGCTTTATAAATGTATTACATATTAATTGATATTTTATGTCTATTATTGCAGCGTCAGTTTTATTACGCATGTTACAAAACATAATTACTGATGAGGTATTTCGAAATGGAGTCATTATATTCTTGACTAAACAGTAAGTGTGACTCTCTAATGTAACCTTGTATTTTTATATTGTAATATGCTACAACATTATAACTATAATAACAGTTCTAATATTCATGATAAAACATAGAGCATATGCCATTAAAAAATTAAATATAAAAATCGACTCTCGAAAATTTCAAATACAAAGAATAAATAGGCTAATGAGAGTAAACTCGCTGTTATCAATGCGAAATCACAAAAAACAATATATATTCGTTAACAATCAAAAAATGTCATATATAAAATACTATACGTTTCGGCCTAACATCCGGGCCATCTTCAGTAGTAAATTCACAAAAAAGACATGGATCTGTAGAAAAGTGGTCACTCTCAACGTCAAACAATCAAATCCACATGGTTGGTAGGTCATGTGCAAACGACAAGACGTTAATCTAAGTAAAAATTAAAAATTAATGACAATGATTGAAGAAAGATGAAAATGAACACTCACCGACAAATCCATGATTAACAAGATAAAGTTGTATTAAAGAAATAAAAGGCCACCATCAGACAAACAACAAATTAATATAAAACAAGTCAAAAGATAAAAATCCGAAGATAACATTTTGGTGGTCACGATTTAAATGTAATAATAGTAAACAGAACAACTCTAAGAGGAGCAACGATGTATCGATTTATCTCGCAGTAACCTCGATGAACATAAATATCCAATAAAGTCGTACATACAGTTATAAGCGCATGCGTGTAACCAACGATACAGGAATCGATATAATTCTTCCAATCAGATAACAGAGATCACACAGATATATCGAAGTCATAATATATCACACATTCAAAAAGAAATTCACCGAAATTCATTAAGTAAAGAAACATAAGAATGGTGCAAAAATTTTTTGATTGTTAACGAATATATATTGTTTTTTGTGATTTCGCATTGATAACAGCGAGTTTACTCTCATTAGCCTATTTATTCTTTGTATTTGATATGCCATTAAATTTTATAGATGTTCTGTATTATATTTAATTATAGACTGTATGCTTTGGCCCGTATTTAGAACGCGCTTTTATCGATAAATATGCATTTTTATGTAAAGTTCTGTATACGTAACTATATATATATGTATATATATAACATTAACTATATAATATACGTAATGTTAATTACATAAGAATAATATGCTAATATGATAAAAACTCATTCTAAATTCAGCCTTTCACGTTTTATAAGTTTTTACATGTATCTTTGAATCCAACGACATTAAATATTTACTTAAACTATATCTTTTAATAGTCAATATACATTACTCCATGTTTGTCAAATTTGTAGTCAGTTTCACTCGGTTACTCCGGACGATTTGTGGAGCGCCATGCAAAGTGCTCTAAACCAATCTGATATTCCTCATGAAGATTACAAAATAAAAGAAGTAATGGATACTTGGATGAACCAAGAGAGTTATCCTTTTGTACATGTGGAGAGAAATTATGAAACTGGTGAAGTAACGATATCAAAAATATGTGTAAAGCAATTTGAAGAGATTAGTTGTGCGAATAAATGGTGGATTCCTATAACTTTTGCTACACAGTCCAATCCAGATTTCTCCAATACTGTACCTCGTTACTGGTTACGACCAGATCAACATAATATAAGTTTTACAATTGATCCAAATGATTGGATTATTGTCAATTTACAACTAACTGGTAAGAACAAATAAATGAGTTCCATCTTTTTACTTAATTGTTTTATAATTTTTTTTATGGTACATATGTACAATATGTAAGGGAGACCGAGGTGAGTTGAAACAACGTCGACATCTCGAAACCAGTAATAGTCGATAATCGGGCAACAGTACAATTATAACCTTTGTCTTTATGTGTATTAAAATTGTATTTGTTTAAAACATAATATACATATCTTTTTTAACTAGTTTTCTTTATTATTAAAAATACGAGGTTTTTCCGGAGGAGCATTATTTCTGAACCTTTATCACTTTATGTATTTTTGTATGTATTTTGTATTTATAAAACCTTAAAAGAGATTTAATATTTAATTTTCTAAAATTTTTTTTGTTAAATATTAATTAATGTAAAGTAATTTATAATCCGTAATTTCTATATTTTTCATTGTGATATACAATATGTTACATTCGTATGTTACATTAAGTAATGATAAAATATATATATTTAGATATATATAAAAATACATCTTGATAAATACAAATTTAATAAATATATTTAATAATACATATAATGAATAATGCAACAGGATACTATCGTGTTAGTTACGATAACGAAAATTGGCAAAAAATTGCAAATTATTTAAATAGTAAGGAATATGAAAACATACACGTTCTTAATCGTGCTCAGATTGTCATTGATTCGTTCATATTGATATTTGATGATCGAATAAGTGCCTTATTATTCCTTCAACTAAGTGGCTACTTATCGAAGGAAAGAGATTATGTGGCATGGCAATCGTTGTTCGAAGTTATAGAACATATACCGAAGACTCTTTTACTGCCGGAAATGAGACATTTCAAGGTAGGACTTTATAGTTGAACAATATTAAATCTTAAATCTTATAAGACCATGAGAATTAAAACCAATGAGAAACAAACCATAACGGTCAAGTCGGATTATGGGTGCTTCTATAATCGTGTGTGAATTTATATACTGTCGAATTTTTTTCAGATTTGAAACGCATTATTATTTCATTATTTCTAGATACACATTCAACAATTCCTCGATTGGCTTCTTCGGAACGTAAAATACGTAGAAGATCCTAATGATAACGATGTTACAAAATTGATAAGGATAAACGCATTAAAATGGGCATGTGTTGTTGATAATGAGGAATGCAAGAACATGACCGTACATAAATTAAGTAGACATCTTGCGAATCCCAAAACCTACACGTAAATTTTTCTCACTTATAATCTCGTAAATTGTATTTGTATGTGCGTGCATACGCCAGCATATCGATACAATTACAGTCGACATTCTATTTCTTCAAATCGTCGAGATCAGACATTTTTCTTTATAATCTCAGTCCTTACTTTTATTCAATAATGAACGTAATAATAGAATAAATGTTCCATTATGTAAAAGTAAAAATATAAGTACAATGAAATGACAGGCTGCGTTATCGGTATATCTTCCTTCATTTTGTTATTTCATTGTTATATTACAATATCATATGATAGTATAACAAGTGTTTTACACTATAGTGTAAGACACTAGAGCAGAATAGATATTTTTACAATAAAATATAAAAATACAAAATTTGATAAAATGGAAGGTCGGCTATTGTATGAAATATATGTATTCTTTCTTAATAATTACATATTTTAGAATTTCACGGTGGGAAAAATATGTATATTGTACCGGTATGATGACAGCCAATAAAACTACTTGGGATAAAATGTTCGAATTATATGTAAAAGGAGAACTAAAACACCACGATAGAGAATTATTGAAAGGTTTGAGTTGCGCTAGAGATCCTGATATCATCATCAACTATTTAAACATATTAGCACTAAATACCTCATTATTTAACAATGATAAGCATTCTCTTGTCTTTAAATATATTCTTGAACAGCATGTACGAAACGATATAATCCTTGATTACGTATTAGAAAATTTAAAGATTATAAAACCTAGGTAATAATATTTTCGTAAATGTTTACTATATTTAATCAAAAGAATTTATTAATTATGAATATGTTATTTTGTTTATATACCATAGATTACTTACTACACTTGCAGTGATAAAATTAATTCTTGAGAATATTTATTCTCTTGAACAAATAGACAAGGTAAGTTTTATAATTTAAAATTCATAGTTATTGATTTATTCATTATGAAATTACTTTAGCCCTTTGACCACAGTTTTCAGTAGCATCATTGTTACAATGTTGCGAAGTTATTACAATATTGTTAACACGTTGAAAATGTTACTGCAATTCAAGGGTAGTTCAAAAAATTTATGATTTGATACGAAAAATGACGCCATAAAAAAATATCAGACTATTATATAATTTTTAAGTTTGTTCCTTTGTTTTTTCCCAGATCTATTAAAATTTTAAATAGATGCGTTTTTTAGTTTTTTTGTTTCGTTTAAATGTACAAGGTCGAAAACTTTTCGAACTAATGTACTCTCTTATTATTGAAATTTCCTGTAATACGCTTTAACTGTTCCATATAAAGAATTACAAATTAATACAACAGTAATAATAAATTGTGTTTGCATATGTAGACTGCATTATTATATTTTTTCGGAAAACCACATTATAAAATCGAATGTAAAACCGTTATACTTTAAAATATATGTATAAAACTAATATTGTATTAATGTATAAATAGAAAATAACTTAGAAAAATTTCAAGAAAGTCATCCTGTCTTAGATTAATGATTCACTCAGTTCTCGAAATTTCCATTTTAAATGAAAGACATGTTTTATGGTAAACATTTTTACAGTTAAGAAGTCAAATATATTATTTATATCTACATATTATATATATAATATATATATATATATATATATATAATATGTAGATAGTGGCCTAAGACACTATCTGCGTCTCCTGATATATTAATAAATTATTACGTACTTATCTTAATGTTACATTTAATTAAAAAAGTAATGTATCAAATTGCTGCGTAAAAATAAATTACTATTTATTCAGTGCCTCGAACTAATCTGTTTCAGGTAAAAACGTTCTTAGAAATTAATTTTTATCGATATCCAATCACTTTGTTTGAAATACAAAAACTGATAGACAAAAGTATAAATCATCTTATGAATTTCATAATCCATTTTCAACAGAAATTTTATTTCTAAGAAGAAGATATAGATTGAGAAGTGATTATTGATACTTTTACAAAAAAGTTAATCTGTTGTAAAACTTATATTTACTTACATTAACTTTATTATAATATTATGTTTATCTATGTTATTAGACTGTAACTATTCACATATTTTTAATTCTTTTTAATATTTTTCAATAATTTTATAAGATTTAGTATTCTGTTAATAGTTTGAGAAAACTATTGATAAAATGAATTAAACTTTTTGCCACATTAATATTTTTTCAATAAAAAGTAATTTATGTTATCTTATATGTATAATAACATATTAGACCGCTTGACGTCGTTTGTAGAATATTTTTAGAAACACTGTAACTCTTATTTATTACATTCTATTCAAAGCACTTGTAATTAAATTGTATCAAGTGATGACTATTTTCTAAGTGTTGTATTTGTAATAGTACCACTTTCTAATAACAGATATTTAAACTGTTTGTAGCATTAATATTAATTCTTATTACAAATCTTGATTTGGAAGAGATGTGAAGTGATAACGTCACTTTGTGATAAAATGCTGATATAAAAGGTTTTATTTATACAAAAGTTATTATTAAATAAAATAAAAATATTTTTATATATGGATTCTCATTATTTAGTGTTATAGATAAATTGAATTTTCTTTATCTCACACTCCCTCTCTATGCATATTTTCTATTTTAAAGAAATTAGTTTCTCAGAAGAAAAAAAATACGTTTATTCGCAAAAATGATTCTTTAAGCAAATTAAATTTTCACAATCTCAAGGTTCTATAATCTTTATCCCTAGTAAAAATAATATATTTTTTATTATAAGTTTATAAAAAGCTTCAAATATTGAATAGATGTTTCATTTAAATTTTAAAGTATTTATGACTTACAATTGGTTTACAAAATAGAAATTTAAACATGGAGTTGTTTAAGATATGTTCACGATTATTCAAAAAATTACGCTTTGAAAACAGTACTTCAAAATAGCAAGAAAAACTCTTAGTAAATAATCTTAAACAACGTAACCATCGATAAAACTCTTCATAAACAATATAACTATCGATAAAACGCTACACAAACAAGTATAAACATAATGTCTTATTAAACATTTTCTCTAGGAATGATCATAATTTAATTTATGTTAGTTATTATGCAAGGCTATTAGAGTCATGTAAGTTTTATTTTGCTATCTTATAATTTTTATTTAAACAACAATTCTAACAGATTAAATGTTTCTATCGTTCAATTGTGATCATTATCAGTAGTTATAGATAGTTGTTTAATAATTAATTGTGTCGGATATAAATCTTATGTTGTGTGAATCTGGAGATTTTGTTAATTTCTTTTATAGTCATCTTCTTAGTGATTAATCTTTATCTTAAATGATGATATTACATGGGTTCTTAGTCATAATATTATTATAAAGATAAAGGTGTACATCTTGTCAATACACTGGATCCTCGATTAAAAATTTTAATTTACAATTTTGATATAATTTTCTGTATACTTAAACCGCATTAAGTGCAATTCTGTATACTTAAGACCGCATTAAGTGCAATTTTAGAAAAAAATTAAGTCAAAGCAAATATATATATGTATATGCACAAATTGCATATACGATATAGAGGAAACAAATAAAAACAGACAGATAGATAGCTAGATATATAAAAAGAGAAAGTATATTAAAATTAGAGGAATAGGAAAAAGAAAAAAAAAAAGAAGATATTTTGAGAGTAATAAAGATTTACCTTTTGTAATTTTTCTATATAAAGGTAATTTTATTATTAAATTAATTTATCTCTTTTCAATTAGTTAATTAATCATTCGTGCATTAGGTACATAACTAAATGTTAACAAATCTTGAAAGGGTCAAATTCAAGAGTAACACTTCAATATTTTCTTGAGAAATACGTCTACATAAAATTTTTTATAAAAATGTAAAAACCTTTTAAAAATGTAGCATGTTATCCTGTTTTTTGTTTTACTATATTTCTTATATATTTATTAAATATTTATAATATTATTATTATATTGAATTTCTTTACAGAAAGTTTCACATTTTTAATTGTTTATAACTCATAGAATCTATGGCCGGTATTCATAAACGTTCTTATAAGATCATCTTAAATAACGTCTTAATGATTAAATACAGCCATCTGATTCATAATATCTTAAAACTGTAGTCAAGACTAAAATAGGATCTGATTGTAATTTATTAATACTGTCTTACAAATCATAAAATTCGTTATCAAAAACAATATAATTCACAGTTCAAAATTTAGAAAGGTCGTCCTTTTATACACGTTCACAACATCATATTCAGAGACATTTGTAATCATTAGATATTTGAGAACGTTTTGAAGTGGCAAGACGAGCTGATATGCCGAAGTATCGGTTATATTAAAAGATTGATAACTGTAATTAATTAACTACAATTAATTCAAATCTATTGAATTTTTATCTGCACAAAGGTGTAACATACAAAGTAAGTTGTAAAAGATAATAATAATTTAATTCGTATTTATTCATCGTTAAAGTTATAAAATATATGTGAAACGTAATTCAAATCATTTAGTACAATAGAATATGACTAAATTTCATTACATTCCTTTGAAATCTTTTTTTTTATAAATTAAGAATTTGTATAGGCCTGTATGTATGTATGTATTTATATATATATATATATATATATATGTATATATGATATATATATATATATATATATACACTTAAATTCTTTTTAATCAACACATTTCTGCCTTTTAATGTTATATAACTGGAATTAGAACTGAAAAACAAGAGACATTCTTGAATTTAATTTTACATAATATAATTCGGTAATTATTTACATTAGGGGACACCTCACCGGTGTGTAAAATATCAAGTAATATACTCATAATCGTTATATGCATAACGAATGGAACACACACACACACACACACGGGCGGGTGCAAGGGGGCGGCCTTCGGCCACCCCCCCGCACCCACACCGTCGACAGAGGTCTGCCCCGACAGTACTATCATAGCAACAGTACAATCGTAGAAATCGAGTGCCCCTGTGAAGAGGAGGGGGGGGGGGGTTAAAGTTACTTCGCGTGGAAAGTTTAACGTTTCTACGCAGGGAAAGGTGTAGAATAGTACTTAATATCATACATGTGTTATACATATATCATATGTTAATTTTAAAACTATGATTGTTAATAACTTTTTAACGAATGACGAGCGACGGTTAAAACCTGTTTGAGATTACTCAGGGTCGTATCCTTGAGAACATATGTCAAGGTCAAGGTAATTGTGGAGAGTCCCCTGATCTAAAGATTTACCGGTTTCACTACTGTTAAAAATAACTTCAACGCTTAATATCTCACAAATGATAAGAGTCCGCCGCCTAGTTGTTAAGGCAAAGTTACTCAGAATCATGACCTTGACAACATATGTCAAGGTCAAGGTCATCGGTGAGGTGTCCCCTAATCTAAATAATTACCTATAATTCTAACTAACTAAACAATTCAAATCTTACACAAAGCATATGGTAGAGTGGGACTTTTTCGTCCACTTCTCGTGATAATATTTGTATCTGAACAGTTTATGCTCAACTTTTCATTGCATTGTATTAATTTTTTTAATGAACAATTGTAGATACGTAAAAAGAGGGTTTGATATGGGATTTATAAAATTGTTATTAAATATTGGCCTAGTATTAGCTATAAAAACGACTCTTTGCATCGGTAATAACTTCGAAATTATTAAACGATTACCGAATAACACGAAACCAATTCACTATGATATTAATATAACACCGTATCTTGAAGAAGATAATTTTACTTTTTACGGTGAAGTCAATATCAAAATCAAGATTCGTTATGTAACGTCAACAATAAACTTACACTCAAGAGAATTAAAAATAAATGAAACTGCGACAAAAGTGATTAAGGACGAAGATACTACTTATAGACCGTTAAAATATATTCATGACAATCAAACCAACATTTTGTCAATTATTTTTATTAGTATAATAACGCCCGGTCTGTACATCCTGCACATGGAATTTGCGGGTAATTTATCAGATCCTTCCGAAAAACAGGGATTTATGAAATTTTCATACTATCAACAGCACGTGTAAGTAAATATTAAAACATGAAGATATATTTGCAACATATAAACTAGTTTCTGTTACTATCTTCTTTGTTTTTATTATTATCTCCATACATAAAAAAATTTTCCAGTGAAACAATATTTCGATTTTTAATCTCGTCAAAATTTTTATTATATGTAATAATACAAATTATAGTAAACAATAATTAGTATTTATTAAATTCTTATGTTGACAAACATGAGTAAAAAATTTGCTACATTTAAGATGTTTTATCAAACAGTAGATGGTTAGCTGTAACGCATTTCGCGCCAAATAACGCCAGACGAATGTTTCCATGTTGGGACGAGCCAGCATTAAAAGCCACTTTCAACATCTCCGTAATGTGTCATCATAAATACAAAGTATTGTCAAATATGCCAATACTAGAGCAATACTACGAACAAGATGGGATAAGGACAAATTTCAAGACCACTCCTATCATGTCTACTTATGTCGTAGCAATTGCAGTGTTTGATTTCTTCACGATGCCGAAAATAAATGAAAAATTAAACGTTTATAAATGGTGGTTTAAATCATTATATGAATCATCTTTGGAATTAAAATTAAAATACGCATACGATACTTTTGAGGAAATCCTCTATCTCTTGAATCAATATACCAGTTTCGTGTGGATAACCAAAATGGACTGCATCTTGATACCGAAGTCTACAGTTAGCAGCATGGGAAATTGGGCACTTATCACATATGAGTAATATACACAGTTTGTAAAGAATTAATTAAGTTATAAATTTAGTGCTCGGAAAAAGAACCGGGTAACATAGCAAATTGACATCCGCCCACCCGTCAGTCATTTGTTGCATACGGGTGAAAACCGATTTTGCGAGTACTCGAATCACACGGGTATCCATGACACGCAGGTACCCGTAATTTGTAATTTCAACTATATTTCCGTTACCATTTAATTAAATCGACAAATTCATGAATGCAATGCGGGTACGTATATAAACTATGAAGTGAGCACCTGTGTATGATTTGGGTATCCGCAACAGAACTTATATACAACTTATACAGAACTTGTATATAAGTTCTATTGTATCCGCATGTTATGGGTATCCGTGTGATATGAGGTCGAAATGCCGCACGACGATCTGTGCGCGGAGCGGTGAAATGAGGGGAACAGCGGAAGGCGGAGGTGATTCTAAAATCGGCCGAAAGTTGCATACACTTTATGTATGTTCACTTTGAACTGGCATCATTTTAATTAATAACATATCAGTTATTTTTCATGATAATATATTATTATTAGATAAAAAGGTTTAAATTTTTGAGAATCTTTCTTTGAACATGGCTTGACTTTTTCATTTTTATGATATGATTTTTTTTCGGATATATGTATATGTACAAAAAATTTCAATTATCCGAATTTTTTATTTACGTAAAAAAATTATAAATAATTAATTTATAAACTGCATATTCAGTGACATTTTACATAATTATATTATATGTTATTTGCTGTATTTCAGTGAATCAGATGTTACCTATGATGATCGCAGTGATCCAACAAATAAGAAAATTTCAATAACGATGTTAATAGCACGTGAACTTGCACTTCAATGGTTTGGCAACTTAGTCACTCCATCTTGGTGGTCCTACCTGTGGTTAAGTGAAGGAATTGCTTCGTTCATCCAAATGTTTATCATCAAACAAGTTATTGAATATTATTAATTCAAGATTATTTATTGAAAAAAAGATTTTGCAGATATTTTCTTCTAAGACTACATACTGAAAAAATTTTCTGATTAAATCTACTAAAATTCTAGTTAAGATAATTTGAATTTTGGTTAAATTAATTAGAAGCTTTTTTTGTTTGTCCATTTTCAACCAATTAAATCTTCAGATAGAATAAATATAAATTAAAATCAGAATTAAATAATCTTCATTAAAAATAATCTGAATTAAAAAATCTTCGTTAAATATTTCAAGATGGAACTATACAATACAAATAAATAATACATGTTTTAATTTGAAATAATAAAGAAGCTTGTAACATGTTTATTGGAACGGAAATAAAAATATTTTATAACAATATTTTAATATAAATTTTGATTAAAAATTAAAAATATTTGTTTTTTGCATTCGTTAAAATTTGCTATTCTAATTATTTTTTATGTTTAAACATTATGTTTAAAAATTATACAAATATTGTAATTATTTTATTAGAATTAGAAAACATTTTATGCGTAGATTTTCTCCAAATGTTTAGTATTCATTCACTGCAAAGCATATTTTCTTTTTTTAGATTTTCGCATTGCGGACAATACATCTTCTTGAAATTGAAGACATACAACAATGTTTATTTCAAGATACAATAGGGTCATTGAGTTCTGTCACGTTGAAGCTTGGCAATTCCCTTGACAAACTTTCGTCGAAGTATTCTACTGAAATTTACAAAAAATGTAAGATAACGTAAATAAAATTAAACTGCTGCTCATAGATCCTTTTAATATGTAGCTCAAAAAAAATATACAGTTAGCCATCAGCTAATAAATATGTTCTTCTTTAGTGCAATGCAGTTTTCTCTATATATAACATATATTTATTAGATACATATGTGTAATATTTTAAATGTAATCTAATAAAAGGTATTATTAATTAATATTTTATGATATGTATTATTGCAGCGTTTGTTTTATTACGCATGTTACAAAATATAATTACCTATGAGGTATTTCGAAATGGTCTCATTATATATTTGGACAGACAGTAAGTGTATCTGATAAACGTTATATATATGCATAGTAATATTAAAATTTGTATACTTTATATTGTTACTCGAGTGTACACTTTGGTCCAAATTTAGGATATGCTTTTATTAGGATATGCTTTTATTTGTAGTCAGTATAGTTCGGTCACTCCAGACGATTTATGGAGTGCCATGCAAAGTGCTCTAAACAAATCTAATATTCCTCATGATGATTACAAAATAAAAGACGTGATGGATACTTGGATGAACCAAGAGCGTTATCCTTTTGTACATGTGGAGCGAAATTATGAAACTGGCGAAGTAACGATATCACAAATACGTGCTCGACAATTTGGAGAAACTGAAAATAAAACTACTAAATGGTGGATCCCTATAACTTTCGCTACGCAATCCAATCCGGAATTTTCCAATACTGTACCTTATTGTTGGTTACAACCAGATGAACAAAGTATAAGCTTTATAATTAACCCAGATGATTGGATTATTGTTAATTTACAATATACTGGTAAGTATATGAAGAAAAATTTAATGTTTTATTTTAGGTGTTTTTTTTCACTCTACTTATTACTACGTAAGTTTTACATCGCATTTATACATAGATATATGTATTTATTTAATGTGTCTGTTTTTTATTTATAAGGGTTTAAAAGAATTGTTTTATGTATTTAACTTTGTACATTTTTGTTAAATATTATAATAATTAATAAAATTGATTTATAATCCATAAATGCTATGCACTTCATAATATACGATATAATACACTATATTCGCGTGTTACATTAAAGAAAGTTAAAATATAGATATGTATTTAAAAATATTAACTGAGTATGTGTGTGTGAATACCTTTTAATAAATACAATTAAAACTAGTTAATAATATAACAAGTATATAATATCACAGGATATTATCGTGTTAGTTACGATACCAGAAATTGGCAAAAAATTGCACAATTCTTAAATACGATGGAATATAACAATATACACGTTCTTAATCGTGCTCAAATTATTGCTGATTCGCATGCCATGGTATTGGATGATCGACTAGAAGGCCATTTACACCTTCTACTGACAGGCTATCTCAAGCGAGATAACAATTATGTGGCATGGCAACCACTGTTTCACATTATAGAAACTATGCAGATGCCTCTTTTACTGCCAGAAATGATGCACGTCAAGGTAAAACTTCATATATATTAGGTGTGATTTAGCTTAGAAGAGTTTTTTCTCTCAAAAATTGTTTTATTTAAAAAAGATAACGAACAAATACCTTGATTAAAATATTTTCATTTCTTGCCAAACACGCATTACGCATCATGCGTAATTATTATATGAATATATGCCAATATTTATAAGAAATGTGCGTAAAGTATATTGACTATATCTGGAACAAAATATATTAATTACTTCATAACTCCTATATATAGAATTACTACAGTTACCTTCTTCACGAGCTTTTTAAACACATAAGTTATGTAGAAGATCCTGATGACGGCGATGTCACAAAACTGACAAGGTTAATTGCCATGAAATGTGCATGTGATCTTGGTATCGAAGAATGTAAGAAAGTGACCGCACTTAAATTAAGTAAACATATTATGGATCCTAATACTTACAAGTAAATTACTTATATACTTATTTATCTTGTAAATTATCTTGTAAATTGTATTTGTGTGTGCATGCTTGTCAATAATTTACAGTCGACATTCTGTTTCTTGAAATCATCGAGATCTGACTTTTATTTTCTAGTCTCAATCTCTCTCCATCCTTATTTAATAAATGACATATGGGGGGCAGAATAAATGTTTTATTATCTATAAAAGTAAAAATATATAAGTACAATGAAATGATAAGCTGCATTATATCATATATCTTCCTTGTTTTTGCATTGTATCATTGTCATGTGATGACATAACAAATGTTTTACATTACGTATATTGTAAGATCAATAAAGCAAAATAAAAATTTAATTTTACGAAGTTATGTTTAATGCAACAGGATTATGGAACATAAAAATACAAAATTTGATAAAATAGAAAGTCGGCTGTTGTGTATAAAATATATATATTTTTTCTTATGGATACACATTTTAGACTTCGACGAGGAGAAAAATTTCTATATTGTACTGGCATGATAGCAGCCAATAGGACTACTTGGGATAGAATGTTCGAATTATGTTTAAATGGAGAACTAACAGAGCAAGAAAACAGATTATGGTTGAAAGGTTTGAGTTGCGCTGAAGATCCTGATATCATCATAAATTATTTAAAAATTTTAGCATCAAATATTTCATTATTTCGCGATGATGTGCATTCTGACGTCTTCAGAAATATTCTTAAGAGGCACGTGTGCAACAATAAAATCTTTAAATACATATTAAACAATTTTGAGATGATAAAACCTAGGTAATAATATTTCTCTTCGTAAATGTCAATTATATTGATTCTTTTAATCATAAGAATTTAAGAAGTTTTATTTTGTTTTAATAGATCACTTAGTACACCTACATTGATAAAACTTATACTTGACAACGTTAATTCTTTTAATCAAATTGACAAGGTAAATATTTTATAATTCAATATTCATTATTATTGATCTATTGTGTACATTCAGAACGACAACCACTCACTGAGGGTTATCAATGAGCGCTTTCATCCGATTGACATATTCCGTTAGATCTTAAAGTGTAGAGTAGTCAGATTAAAGAGCTCACTGAGCGTTCACTGAGATTTATTGTCGTTCGAATTAAAATTCTGCAGGAAACTCAAAAATCGGATCTTTTTATTCGATCCTTTCAAGAAAATCATGCTATTGTGAATTACAATAATTCATTCAATTCTCGTAGTTCAACCTTAAATTAAATTAAAAGGACAATCTTTTGACGGTGAACATTTCTGTATTTAAGGAATTCAATATACTTTTTATACATGCTATAATCTTAATATTATATTAATTTAAAAATTATAATGTACTTAATTGCTAGATAAAAATAATTTACTATTTATTCAGTACCTCCAACTAACCTGTTTCAGGTGGAAAAATTTTCACAAACTAATTTTAATGAAAATTCAAACACATTGTCTGAAATTAAAAAACTGATAGCCTATAGTAAAGAATATCTTAGGAAAGTCACAGCCAATGTTAAAAGACAGTTTAAAAATTACGTTAGGAATTAATTTTCAAGATATTCATCTAAAAAGAAGTGATCATTCATAATAAAAAATAATCTAACGCAAAACTTATACTTATCTATTAACTTTCTAGAACTAATATTATGTTTATATATTATATGAAATTGTAAATTATATATTTATTTTTAAAAAAATTATAATATTTTTCAATTTTATAATATTTAGAGTATTTTATTAATAGTCTATGGAAATTATTAATAAATTTTTCTAATACATTAATCTTTACTTGATGATAAATAATTTATATTTATATAATATGTAACATAATACTCTTTGACGTTGTTTGTAAGATATTTTTATAAACTTTGTGTGTGTGTTACTCTCTGATTTATTACATTTAGTTTCAGAGCACTTGTAACTGAACTGTTCAAGTGATATATATATATAATTATTTTTTAGATGTTATATATATATGTATATAGTACTATTGCTTTCTAATAACAAATATCTAAACTATGTGCTTATAGCATTATTATTATTATTATTATTATAGATGTTGATTTGGATTATTTGAAGTAGAAAATATAAGTATAGATAAATAGATAAATAGATAAAATAATAAAGTTATTTTGTAATAAAATGCTAGCTGTAATAAAAATCTTTATTTAAACAGAAGTCATTATTATATAAAATAAACACGTTTCTGTAGATTCCTAATATTTTATAATGTACATAACACATATTTTCTTCGTTTTACACTTTATTTGCAAAAATAATTCCTTAAAGCAATTATCCTCATTAGGTCCAATTTTCAATAAAAATTAAATAATATCAGACATATATATATGCACATAGTCAAAGCATAGAAAAAGAAAACACAAATATAATAGATATATTAATCACATTTCTATCGAATTGCTTTAATGATTTGAATACATTATTCCATTATAAAATATATTGCAAAAAAACACGTTTTTATGTTAAGATATTATCACAAATTTTTCATTGTTGTTTTTTTAATATATGTATATAAACTATAATGTATTATGAAATACTGCTTATTAAATTTAATAATATAAAATAACCTCTACATCAAATAAACTGTAGAACGTAACGCGTTCAATAAAAATTTGTTATAATTATTTAATTTCTTTATAAGAAAATTCTTATCCTTTAATCGTTTATAATTCAAGGATTCTATAAGTCTAGGACATGTTTTTTGACATGACCTTATACAGCATATTTAGATGACATGTACATATGTGATAACATATATTGATATTGTAGTCTGTACTCGAGAACCTTTCAAGACGGTAAGATGACAACTGCAATTAATTACTTACAATTAATTATAAATTAGTCAATTAGGAATAGCAATTGCATGTTAATCTGCATATAAGTAATACAAATTATTTTATTTTTGTTATTTCTCATGTATTTTTCTCGTAGCAATCGAAAATTACCATGTTAATGACGCTACACGTTTTCAAGGAAAAATTAGTGCGTTAAAATAAAATCTTTATTCACTACATAGTTACGAAATCGCAATCACTTATGCTTCAGTTATTTAAAAACAAATTCAAAGTGTTTAATTTTGTTGGTTTAATTTTGAATTACTTTTTAAGTGAGCATAAGCGATTAAAGCATAAGCGATATCATAACAAATTGAATATTGTAAAAAATGATTTACTGTATCAATATACCAATTTTTTCCCGAAAAGAACATTATTATTATAATAATTTGTAGTTATCATAAAAAAATACATGAGAAAATAAGACAATATAACTTCCCTGAATGATTATGAAACATATATGTTGTAATATTTTTTTTATATCAACGTTATAATTATGTATATATTGTTTTATTTCTGATGGTGAATGTATTTTATACATTTTATAAATTTTAATGTATATATATCAATTTTGCGGTTTACATTATAATAAGTTTTATGTTATATATAGTATAATAAGAGAGATTTATGTTATATAATTGATGTACATCTGAGGAGGGTTAATCATACGGTTGAAACATGTAATGTTAATTTGTCGAATGCTAAAGTAGAATTTATAATTGTATTTCATTACTTTATTCGAATTTTTGATAAATTGTTTCTATTTATTTGGCTTTTGCTAGTTCTATTGTATTACATAATTGTATTTTATACAGCCAAATGAAAATAACTTTCTTGAATGTCTAAAATTATCTTTCAAATTTAATAAATTAATCCTTTATCATGATACTTTAAGACAGAATTTTATGAAAATAAAAATGACAAAATTAATTATAAACATGAGTACATTAAAATGTACAGAATATCAAATTTAAAAAAATAATAAATTAAATCAAATTTAAGAAGATATTAATAATTTTTCTAAAATATAGATCGTATATATAATTTTTTAATAAAAATCAAAAGTTATTTTTTTCTTATTAATAACTCTATACTTATATAAAAAAATTAATATAATACAAAGCTTTAGATTTTCAATTTAGACTTCAATATAACTTTAGGCATTATTGTATAATATTATATTTGGTTTTCTTTTAACAAAAATCGCAGATAAGATAAAGAAGGATTCGATATGATAATTCTAAAGTTATTATATATCGGCTTAATATTAGCCGTAAGAACTTCTTCCCTCGGTAATAACTTAGAAATTATTGATCGTTTACCGAACAACACGAAACCAGTTCATTATGATATCGATATAACACCGTATTTAGAAGAAGGCAATTTTACTTTTTACGGTGAATCTAATGTCAAAATCGAGATTTGTTACGTACTGTCAGAAATAAGCTTACACTCGAGAGACTTAGAAATAAACGAAGAGGCAACAACATTGATTAATGACAAAGGTACAGTTCATAAACCGATGAAACATATCCATAACAGTAAAACAAATATTTTGACACTCAATTTCAACAATGCATTATTACCCGGTCTGTACATATTGCATATGAAATTTGCCGGTAATTTATCAGATCCTTCCAAAAAACAAGGTTTTATGAAATTTTCGTACTATCAACAGCACATGTAAGTAAACATTAAAATAAGAAAATATATTTGCAATATATAAACAGTTTTTCTTACTATTTTTTTCTATTTTTATTATTATCTTCATACATAAAAAATTTTCCAGTGAAACATAATTATAATATACTATGAATAGATTAAAATTGTATGTACATTTTAATGTACTTTAAACGCTAACTTCATTTTCAATTAAGTTAAAACGATGGCGTTATGCAGTATTTTGATTTTTAATCTTGTCAAAATTTTTATTATATGTAATAATACAAATTATAGTAAACAATTATTAGTATTCATTAAATTCTTATTTTAAACATGAGTGAAAAATTTGCTTCATTTAAGATATTTTATCAAACAGTAGATGGTTAGCTGTAACACAATTCGCGCCAAATAACGCCAGACGAATGTTTCCATGTTGGGATGAACCAGCATTAAAAGCCACTTTCAACATCTCCGTAATGTGCCATAAACACATAGTAGTGTCAAATATGCCAATACTAGAGCAATACTATGAACAAGAAGATATGATAAGGACATATTTTGAGGCCACTCCTGTAATGTCCACTTATGTCGTAGCGATTGCGGTGTTCGATTTCCTTGTGCTCAACACAAATGAAACATTCAACATCAATAAATGGTGGTTTAAACTTAACTCATCTTTCGCATTAAAAGTAAAATTCGCGTATTGTATTTCTGAAAAAATCTTGGAGATCTTGACTCAATATACCAATAGTTCATTGAAAATACTCAAAATGGACCACATCTTGATACCAGGGTATACTGCAGTTAGCAGTATGGGAAATTGGGGACTCATCACTTACGAGTAATATGGATAATTTATAAAAAATTAAGCTATTATAAAGCTAATCATTGGGTGCATCCAGAAGCACGACCGCTCACTAAGCGCTCAGTGAGCTCTTGTACCTATTTGGTTTATATTTTTAGATCTAATAGAATATATGCCAATTAGATAAAAGATTTCTGGATGCAACTAATGCGAATCTTAGCATTCAAAATTTAGTAATTTAATATTTGTGTCTATCACAGATAACCAGAAAATATATATTTTAGATTGTTTTAAACATATTAATAAACATATTAAAAATGGCTTTCTCATCTTTGCTGTCAATTACATTTATCTTTTTCGATATAAAAGTTATAACATTACTACCTAATCGGAATTATTTGTATTTCAGTGAATCAAGTGTTACCTACGATGATGGCAGAGATCCAACATATAGGAAAATAGAAGTAGTGATGTCAGTAGCACGTGAACTTGCATTTCAATGGTTTGGCAGTTTAGTCACTCCATCTTGGTGGACCCATGTGTGGTTAAGTGAAGGAATTGCTTCGTTCACCCTAACATTCATAATCGAAAAGGTTATTAAATATTATTTATGCAAGGTTGTTTGTTAAAAAATGAATTTTATAGAGAAGTATATTTAAAATAAAAATTATATATACTAACAATAAAAAATTTTTCTAATTAAATCTATTTAAATTCTAATTGAGATAACCGAATTTTTGATTGATTTAATCAGAATCTTTTGGTTTATTCATTTTCAACCAAATCATTCTATTCAGTTAAAATACGAAATATCAATTAAATAAAATGAAGTACCATATTTTTATAAAATCTGTCAAGATAGAACCAAGTACAAATAATGCATGCTTTAGTTTCAAACTAATAGTGAAAAAGTTTGTAACACGTTTATTTTGAGACGGATTATAAAAATATTTTTATATAAATTCTTATTAAAACTTAAAGATATTTTTTTCATGCTTTCCTTGAATTAAAGATTTGCTATTTCAATTTTTTTCTATATATTTGAAAATTACTTAATGTTTAGAAATTGTAAGAATAATTTAATTATTTCATTATGATTATTCGATAAAGGAAGTATCTAAAACTTTTCTTTGAATTTTTAATATTCAGTCAAAGCACTTCTTTTTAGATTTTTAAATTACGGACACAGCATCTACTTCAGATTCAGGACATACAACGATGTTTACTTCAAGATACTGTAGGCTCATTAAATTCTGTCACGTTGAAATTTGACAATACTCTTGATCAATTTTTGTCGCTGTATTCTGTTGAAATTTACAAAAAATGTAAGATAATCTAAATAAAATTAAACTGCTGTTTATCCTGATAGCAATTTACGCGCAAATTGGCAGCAAAATCGATCAGATGTTTGCTACAAAACCGTTGGCTACAAGCCATCTGTGTCTGCATTTGCCTATAGATTTGGTGACAACATTTACTGACATATTTTGCAGCAGATTTGTAGTAAAAATCCAGCAGAGCTTGATGACAGAAGTCGATAAAATGATGCTAACAGTGTGCTTCACGAACGCACTCAGCAGTTAGATTGCACGCACAAGCTGTCAAAATAGGCATTTAAATTTTAAATGACTAGATAAGCGCAGACTCTGCTCGGTTTCTGTTGCAATCTGTCGTCAACTTCTGTCAGCAAACTCTGCTCGCAATCTGCTGTCAGATCTTGTCAGCAGACTTTGCTCGGTTTTTGCTATACCAATCTGCTGCAAAACAAGTCAACAGACATTTTCAATAATTTAGCAGCAGTTTGCTGACAATATCTGGTAATACAGATTCTGTCTATAATTTGTTCTTAATCTGTAATCAAAAATTGTCAGCAGGCTCTGGTCTAAATCTGTTTCGGCAGAGGCTTTGCTACCAGAGGGCTTTAATCTTAATGTGTAGCACAAAGAGAAACGGACATGTTGATTAGTCAACAAATACTTCTTTAGCGCAATACATTTTTCTACATGACATAAATTAATTACATATGTACTTTAAATGTATAATTAATTAATATTTTATGATATGTATTATCGCAGCGTCAGTTTTATTACGCATGTTACAAAATACGATTACCTATGATGTATTTCGAAATGGTCTCATTACATATTTAGCCAGACAGTAAGTGTACATGATAAGCATCATATTATTAATATACATATGTCATAATATTAAATATTACATTATAATTAAAATAAATATATATACAATACTTTTATTATAATACTTCTAATAATATTAATAATGAAGTATATATGTACATGTATAGCATTATTAGAATTTGTATATGTTCGACTTTATAATGTTATTCACTTGTAGCTGTACACTTTGACTCGCATTTAAAAAACGCGCTTTTTTATTGCATATTGATAAATATACATTTTTATATGAATTTTGTATAATATACATAACACATTATAATTATATGATAATGGCGTATGATAAATAGAGTCTATCACGTTTTTATTTAATTATAACTTAATATGATAGTTTAAGTTGTATAAGAAGTTTGTACATATATCTACATATAAAATTACATTAAATATTTATTTAGAATCTTCAATATACATTGCCCCATGTTTGTAAAATTTGTAGTCAGTTTAACTCGGTCACTCCAGATGATTTGTGGAACGCCATGCAAAGTGCTCTAAACGAATCTGATATTCCTCATGAAGATTACAAAATAAAAGAAGTGATGGATACTTGGATGAATCAAGAGCGTTATCCTTTTGTACACGTGGAGCGAAATTATGAAACTGGCGAAGTAACCATATCGCAAATACGTGCCCGGCAATTTGAAGAACCTGAGAATAAAACTACTAAATGGTGGATTCCTATAACTTTCGCTACGCAATCCAATCCGGAATTTTCCAATACTGTACCTCATTATTGGTTACAACCAGATCAACACAATATAAGCTTTAAAATTAACCCAAATGATTGGATTATTGTTAATTTGCAACTTACTGGTAAGTACAAATAAAAAATGTAATCTTTTTATTTAGGTGTTTTAATTTGATTTATTATAAGATTTATATTGCATTTTTATGTATTTATTTAATTTATTTGTCCGTATATACTTTATTGTATAGATAAGAGTTTAAAAGAAATTTCTTTAAAATTTCGTCAAATATTATTTAACGTAAAATAATTTATAATCGCTATATACTTTATTGTAACATTAATATAATACGTTACATTTACGTTTTACATAAAATTTTTTTTTAAATTAAATAAATATGAATTTGAAAATATTTAACTATGTGTGAATATATTTTTATAAATACAATCAAAAGATTTAATAATCCACTAAATAACAAATATATATCTATTATAATAGGATATTATCGTGTTAGTTACGATATCAGAAATTGGCAAAAAATTTCAAATTTTTTAAATACGAATGAATATAGCAATATACACGTTCTTAATCGTGCTCAAATTATTGCTGATTCGCATGCCATGGTATTGGATGATCGACTAGAAGGCCATTTACACCTTCTACTGATAAGTTATCTTAGGCGAGATAGAAATTATGTAGCATGGCAACCACTGTTAGACATTATAGAAACTATGCCGACGCCTCTTTTACTGCCAGAAATGAATCACGTCAAGGTAGGACTTTATATGTATATAAATTAAATTAGATAATATATAAAATAATGCGGTTAATCTAAATTTTTTCCCGTAATATAAATTGGTTGCTTCTTAAATTTGCACTTTTTTTTAAAGCAGATATATTACATATAAATGTTATACTTTTTGTCCCTAGTAATTAAATAAATTTGTTTGTACTTGTCATTGTTTGGATAGCAATAAAGAGAACAATATAAAGTACTGAATAAACAATTACGATGTAGAGGGTTACATTTTATGTGAGCACACAATATTTATTTCAATTAATACATTAAATGCCCAATAAATTATGTTTACTTTATCTATTACGTGGAATATTCCACCATGGGTAATATAAACTGTATTGTCATATCTAATGTGTTGATTACGTGTTTGAATAGTATCAATAAACGACCATATATACATATAATATATCCTGCTAATATATGTGGCTAATGTATTACCGCATTAGCAAACATTACAAGCGCACACACGCGCATACGCGCGCTAGCAGAAGTACACCCACGCACACGCATACACGCTCCCTCACACACCTATATGCGCACGCATGCCATGTCATATATAATTATTATTAATATGAATGTACGCCAATATTTAATAAATTTGCGTAAAGTTATTGTACACTAACCATATCGTCTAGAACCGAATACAATAAATATTCCATAACTCTTTATAGAAACAATACAAGTATCTTCTCCACAATCTTCTTCGGCATATGAATTACGTAGAAAATCCTGATGATGACGATATCACAAAACAAATAAGATTAACTGCCATAAAATGCGCATGTAATCTTGGTATTAAGAAATGCAAGAAAATGACCGCACTTAAATTAAGCAAACATATTGCGGATCCCAATACTTACAAGTAAATTTCTTATACACTTATGATTATCTTGTAAATCGTATTTGTGTGTGCATGCATGTTGATAATTTACAGTCGACATTCTGTTTCTTTAAATTATCAAGATTGGATATTTTCTCTTTTCACTTCCGTTCTTGTTCAATGATAACGTAATAGTAGACTAAATATGTCGATGCGTCCTAGTGAGAAATGACAATGGAATCGATGTCGAATTGATGATTTCGACATCGACATCAATTCGATGTCGACTTTATTATCATTTCTCACTGGGATGGGAGATAAGTACATCTAATGACAAATTGCATTACCGACGTATCTTCTGAGATTTTGTTTCTGCATTGTATTTATTATCATGTGATGACAAAACAAGTGTTTTACACTACAAGTGTTTTACACTACAGTGCAAAACAGTAGAGCAGAATGAAAATTAAATTTTACGAAGTTATGATTGTTTAATACAGCAAGATTGTGGATACAAAAATACAGAATGTGATAAAATAGAAATTTGTCTGTTGTATGAAATATATGTATCCTTTCTTGATAAATATACATTTTAGACTTCGACGAGGGGAAAGATTTCTGTATTGTACTGGTATGATAGCAGCCAATAGGACTGTTTGGGATAGAATGTTCGAATTATATCTAAATGGAAAACTAACACAGCAAGAAAACAGATTATTGAAAGGTTTGAGTTGCGCTGAAGATCCTGATATCATCATAAATTATTTAAATATATTAGCGTTAAATACATCATTATTCCGCGATAATGTGTATTCTGATGTCTTCAAAGGTATTCTTAAAAGACATGTGCACAACGATAAAGTCCTTAAATACATATTAAATAATTTTAACATTATAAAACCTAGGTAATAATATTTCTCTTCGTAAATGTCTACTATACTGTTTTTTTTAATTATAAGAATTTATTAAATATAAACATATTTTATTTTGATTTAACAGATCACTTAATGCACCCGCAATGATAAAACTTATTCTTGAAAACGTTTATTTTTTCAAACATATTGACAAGGTAAATTTTATAATTCTATTTTACAGTTATTAATCTAGTGTGTGCGTTCAGAATGATAAGAACTTACTGAACGCTCTCTTTGACTAGCATATTCCTTTAGATCCTAAAGTATAGACCAACCAGATAAAAGAGCGATAAGTGAGCAATTGTTGTTGTAAAATGTATGAATTTAAGAACTAAAGTTCTTTAAGTTAAAGTTAAGATTAAAAAAAAATCGTCGAATGAGGTCATCGCTGAAATAAAGACCTATTTTGCAGAGTTCGATAAATCGTATTTTTCGAAGGAATTAGAAAATGGCAGCGTTGGGAAAAGTGTATCCATCTAAAAGGGTATTACGTTAAAAAATAAAAAATTTTTGTAAAAAACTTGCGTCTTTATTACTAACACGGGTACTTATATTAATTGCCTTCGTACTGCAAAAGTTTCTTATAATAATTAGTATTTAGAATTATAGAAATTTTAAGGGTTATTTATCAAGATTCCATTATTAAATATAACAAATTACAGAAATAGGAAATCAAAAATGGTGTCCTCGATATTTAGTTTTATACGTAGGATTGTAGTAAACGAATTTTTTATTGAAATGAATCTGAGCATGCTCTGTAAAACAAATTGACTACGATTTCTGAATGTATTTATTCATCAAATGAAAAACGTGAATAATGGCAAATTCCAAATGTCTGATCCAAAATGTTTAAGTTCGATTAAAATCACATATTTAATACATGTCATAATAAGATAAGTAGGCCATTATTTGACGTTTTCTATTGCGCACTGCTAAAGTAAGACAAAATTGAAAAAATTTTAAAAATTCCGAAGCAATAGTATTATTAACAACTGATAATTATTTATTTTATCAGATGAAAATAGTTTACTTGATCATTTTACCAAAAAAAAAAAGATAAGAAAAACAACAGCGAGAACACGGATGGGTACTGTTGACATTATTGTTTATCTTTTTTTATTATTTATGATGTAATATTTTTTTTCTTAATTTTGCGTTTACAGTATTTTTTTATTGTTGAATATTTGAAGTATTATAAAAAATGGCTTAATATTTTTCGAATCGTACAGGAAACAATTTTCAGATTTCATGGTTTTTCTCATAATTGAACACGCTAAAGTTTCATTTTTGCCCAATATGTAAACATTCGTTTTGTATAGATGACTTTTATTAGTACTAATTATTATGAAAAACTTTTGCAATATGTTCAATTAATGATAAGTTCTTACATAACAAAAAATCTATTTTCCTTGCATTTTTGAGATACAAAACTACATATTTTTACTATTGCATACGGGTTCCAAACAATATTTTGTGGTTAATTGAGGTTCCACAGAGAATAAAAAATCGAACCATTTTATCTGATACCTTCAAGAAAATTATCTTATTATGGATTAATAATTTATTCAATTCTCACTGTTTATTTTAAATTAAATTATAAAAGATCAATCATTTTACGGCATACATAAATTTCCGCAATTAAGAAGTTAAATATATTAAGGAATTCAATAAATTTTTTATACATGCCACATCTTAATATTATGTATACTTATATCCCAACACGTAAATAAATTACAAATTTTAATGTATCGAATTGTTGCATAAAAATAAATTACTACTTGTCTCGAATTAATTTGTTTTAGGTGGAAAGATTTTCACAAACTAATTTCAATAATGATTCAAAGACTTTATCTGAAATTAAAAAACTAATAACCTATGGTAAAGAATATCTTTGGAAAGTTATAGACAATGTTAAAAGAAAATTTGAATCCAAAAAATTTTATAACGAGAATCTATTTTCACGATATTCACCTAGAGAGAAGCGATCATTCATATATAGGATCAGAAGATAATCTGATGCAAAACATATATTCACCTATATCAACTTTATTATAATAATAATACGACATGTTTATCTATTATATCAAATTGTAAATAATTTATTTTCAATATTTTAAAACTTTGTAATATCAAGTATTACAATTAAGTATTATTATATTATATATATTAATAGATTAGGAAAGCTATTAAGAAAAAATCTTTTGACACATTAATATTTAATAAATGACAAACAATGTTATTGTATTATGAAATGTAATATAATCATTGACGTCTATTGTGAGATATTTTTATAACCTTTATAAATCTGATTTTTTTACATTTAATTCAGAACATTTGTTATTAAATTGTCTGAAGTAATAAATATATAATTTAATACATTAATATGTATAGCTCAATTTGAAAAATAAAAATATAAAACAAGACGGACTTTTAGAGCCAAGCCAGATGTTATGTGCTAATAATTATATAAACATTTATTTAGTATATCATATACAAATAATTAAATGTTTCCACTTTTACATATAGTCCTCCTCAGTGATATTATTAAATTAATCAAAGTTTCGTACATATAACATTAAAAATATAAATTAAATATAAATATTTAACACTATATTTAACACTAATATTAGGGTAAACCCGGTATATACGCCGCGTCAGGAAATACACCGCAGAAGTAAAAAAAAATAGAAGGAGTGGGGATAATTTTCCGTCAATTACTTTGTTACATGCCTTTATGGTATATTAGTATTATGTTATCATTTCAGTTCTTTACTGTTAATATTAATGAAATTATTGCGAGTTAAATCGATTTTTTACTGTAATAAGTAGTGCCATCATAATTTATAATCTACATAAAATGATTATTATAGAGCGTGTAAAAGACTTAGTGGTTATTTTGCAATACATATGTGTAGAGGAATAGTAAAGCATGTTGTATAGCAAAATACAAGTGCTTTGCTCCTGTATTGTTTGTTTAATTAGTTGTCATATATATCCCATCTATTTGGGATATACGGCATTTTTAACGAGCGGGATGCTGTACCGCAGCACAGACGCTCTATTTAAGAAGTTTTTGTTAATTCTAACAATTATACATTGCATTAATGTATAAATGTTGATAAATCTTAAACGATTAAAGATTAATTTCAAAGATTTGAAGCTATTTAAAAAAATTGTATTTAATCCTATTTGTATTCCAATTTTCATTCTGAACAATAAAAATTGTCATATATTAATAAACAATGCAA